GAATTTAATTAAGAGGTAGGGATTAGTGAGGAAATGTTGATTCATATTTAAATTTATTAAGGCCATTCTCAGATAATTTCACCAAATTAGCTGCGGAGCTTTTTAACAATCCCTTCCACGCATGGCATAATCAGAGTATGGACTGCTGTTACTATTTTGCTGCTACCGAAAATTGGCATATTTGATTAATGAGGAGTTTCGTGGATTCTTACTCTCAATTGATAAAAATTTCGCTGCGCAGCGGGCTGGTCAAACAAGATGGGATAAAGTAAAGAAATGGCTTACGTAAACATGAGGAATCCTCAAAAAGGCTAGCTAAGTTCGGCAGCAAACGATGGAAGCTATGAGACTAGAGATAAACTCAGAACTACACTAAATGGCGAGATCCTCGCGAATGCCAAGTTATCAAGGGGACAACATCCCCTCCAGGAGATCCCCTTCTTCAAGAGATAATCATCTTCTGGGATATGACTAATTTTCCACAGCAAAAATGTTGATACGTCTCTTTCCCCTGCCTCTCCTTTCCTCTCAGAAATATGTTCATGCCGGTCCTAAGAAGCTTACTAAGTGGAGGAGATGGCTGCAGGAAAGGATTCGGGAAAAGAGGTCGATATCGAATCTTGTAATTTGGCCAGACATGCTTCCGCTGCAGGGCTCTTCGGATAGACTCTTTAATCAGCGGAATGAGTCGTTTTAGTTGATGTCCTTGAATCTGCGAGCTAACCTGAAAGAGACAGTTTCAGATCCCTTCATCAAGAAATTATAAAATTGTTGGAAGTTAAAGGATTATCGACTTACATCAGTCGACAACTCTGGTGTAGACACAAATGAAGTAGTCCAATGATTATATGGTTTTCTTGATAAAATAAAGCGAACAAGGCCAGCTAGTTTTGTAAGCTGAAGACAATAGATTCCTTCAATTTACACCAAATGTCTATTGCTTCACCTTAATGGACAGATTAGCTTTCTTTCCAAATACCGTCGTCACGTCTATAGAAGTCTCAAACCCGCCAGTATAATCCATATCGACCAAAAGTGTAATTTTCTACAAAAATGTAATTATATGATATATGTGAGCCGAGATAAGGAGATGGAATGGCCAACTTCAAAAATGTTTTTATCCTCAGACATCTCGACATTTTCTACTCGTATCGCATTGATCCGTGGAAATTTTGTGCCAAGTGACAGATCCCGTATTCGAATCTCCTGAAAATATTGTGGGTACTCTGAATTTAGCTGTTATTAATCAGTATATATACACATCAATATGAGAACCAACTACAGATAGTAAGACATAAAAAATAAATTTTATTGGAGAAAATGAGTTCACTGACAATGGCCGTTGAAAGTAACATAGTAACTGCTCACCTTAATGAAACTACGTATCAAATTATGCCGCTTCTCAAAAAAGAATAGAGTGGATGGGTGAAAGTGCAAGAATGTGAACGGATGGTACCTGAATGAGACGACCAGCTGCTGAGCGAGTGCTGATATCATTGAGTTCGATTTGCAGACGTTTGTGGAACCACCTAAACAAATCTCCCCATCAATTCGACAAATATCAACTGTGCAGATATTTAGAACAAAAATCAATAACTACTACAAAGTGACAATATGAGGTATTTACCTTCGAAGCTGTCGCGTATCCTTGTGCTCTTGGAAAAACATATGAAGCAAAAGGGAGAGCGAATGAGACGACTCCCATCTGGAGATACCTTGCCCATCATCACCAGTTTTGAGAAAGTCGCGAAGTTCCTATATTGGGAAGCATAACTTAGGAGGATGTTTGAAAATGCTGGAAATATGCAACAAAAATACGTATAATGTTTACACTTGGCGTGGACCATCTAAGCAATAACAGCTAAAATCTAACAGCCAAATAGTAGAAGTACAACCAATTTTAATGACAGACAATTCAATATGACAAAACTACCACTCTGCGGTAAGTTCCTCTTTTCTCGTTTCACGGACCAAAGAGCCTGCTTGAGTGATTTATAAAGGAGAAGAAGGAAATGAAAAGGGTAGAAGAATTTTGTTTGTCTTTTTGTAACTAAATGCGAAATCAAACCGTACTAACTCCAAATGTATATATGACGAGGCTGGCAGAAAGGAATTAATCTAATTTGTTTCCTTAGTTTATCGTTGAAATAAATATAATGCGATAAAATCAATTTGTTGATTCATGTTCTAGTGTAAGTTACCGCAAAAGATATGAGTTTTAATAAGCTGATTATTAGGCACTAGCTGGCATACCCGGCTTCGCTCGGCTTTTTATGTTTTCTGCGTTATTTTTTGCATCTGACCAATCT